AGTTCCAGTAGAAGATGCTAACTTGATCTTCTGCTCTCATTATAAGACTTCTACTTTCCTTGTGAGTTTTCTTTATCCTATTCCCACTCATGGAATTCACCATCTACAGTCTAAAGTTCTAGCCAGTGTTTATTTCCAACAAAATTTCTAACCAAAATTAAGAAAATAAATCTTTCTCTTACTTTGTGTCTATGAGATACAAATAATACATCGCACACACAGCAATGCACTAGTTTACTGTTTTAAGACTGTTTTTTAATCTGAAGTCTTCATACAGCTCAGAGATGTATCCTTGGCAAACTTACATGCAGTTACCAACTTGAAAAAATGTTTTTACATTCTAAGGTTTTTTTCTAATAAAACCCACATTATAGCAAGTCGGTGAAGTCTAATCAAATGAGATTTAAAAATTAACAGTATAGAAACAGTTCTTGTGTCTACAGGCTAGGGTGCATATTGCTGCCATAGCCAAGGTTTAAAATGTGACGTAGACACCACTATGCTCACATTTCTAGAACATATATAGGCCAAGGTTAATTCAAAGAGGATTGCACAGAATGCTTTTTAATGAAGATGCTGAGTAGGTGGCATTGCTAAAACAAAGAAGAGATACAAAAACAACCAAAAAAAAGAAGAAAAATTTACTTAGTTACCATGTAAATACATTTTGCAACTCTTTTTTTTTCAAGAAGAGACACTGGGTCTTCAATACACATGAACAACTAACTTACATCATGTATTAATTTGTCAAGGGGAGGCAATACATAAAAATACTAACTGGAATTTAGTTGGACAGATTAACATAGAGAAAATTCTGAAACTTTCAAGAGAACATAACAGCTTTTTGAAACAGCTTTTGATAACCTCTTATGTTGTAACAAATTGATACACAATTGAACCTTTTTGTCACCTGCAAAACAGATGAGTACTTTGACATAAAAAACCAGATGTTTTGTCTTCTGCCAGTTTCTCATTTCTTTAGTTGCACATTTTACAGGACAAGACATAAGCATATTCTATCCCAAACATTCTGACTGTGGTGGCAGGTAAGATGTGATTGGAGCAGAGCATCCTGTGGAGGTGGAGCAGCACTGTTCTGAGCCAAGATCCTGCTTCACCTGGAGATTCCTGCTCAGCCTTCCCCCCCTCCACCCTCCACCTCCCATTCATTTCCGTGAGGAGGGCTCAAAGGGCTGCTGTGCACACGTGAATGGAATGGCACAAAAAAATCTAGCTTACATAAGAAGTGTGCACCAGGTTACCTATAAAAGGGAGAGGATTGTCCTCTCTTTCTCCCTTTTTCCCCTGCTCTTTCTCTTCCCTCTCTTTGTCTTTCACTCTCATGCTTTTTCATTCTCATGTTCTGGGACTTCCACATGGCAGGACAATACCAGGCAGGATACCAAAACCAAAACACAATCCCCAGAAAAGCAGTTACTACTTCAATAACTTGCCCACATCTTTCTGAAGAAGTTCCTCAGGCTGGTATAAAATTGGGTGGATATAGGCCACTCATGACTTTATTCATGAGCTATAATCAACCAAAGTAAAAGGCTTAGATACTATTAACTCAGAATTTTCAGGATAAAAAGCAGAGATCCTCCTTGACTGAGCAAGAAGTCACAGCAATAACAACAGTACAGGCTGACATGAAAAAAGTGTGTTCAAAAGACAGAGTTGTTCAATTGGATGACCCCCAGACAGGTTCCATTGAAGTATAGCAAATCAAGGACAAAATCATGAATCATGGAAGTTTTTATCAGCTGTCAGCAAAGAGTGAGCAAAGCCAACTCAATTTCAGAGTAGCATTCCCTCCAGAGACCACCAAAAAATATAGGAGTGACTTGTCCCTTGGCAAAGCTTGTGATTAAGAAAACCTTATATCTTGTTCATAGCCAATAAAAGTGACACTATTGGAACTTAGAGTTGTGTGGTGCGCCAAAATGACTTAAAGAGTCCTTTATGTCTGTCCTGATTTTTGAAACCAGGACAATGGCATAATAATGACTTTATCTTCAGTGACAGGTGAGCGATTCCAAGGGCAAGGCTGGAAGAGCAGGTATCAGAGTCTACATCTACAGACAAGCCAAGAAATATTCCTTTTACTCAAGACTTGGATTTTTTTTTAATACTACCCTTTGATAGACAATTGCATAATGTCAGGAGAAAATATCACTAGAAATTTTCTTTTGTTTTTAAGAATTCATGTGTATTTGTTTTCCAACTGACTTAACTCTAAGTATTTTAGCATTTCCTTTTAATATTCAAGGTTTTAATGACACAATCACAAGATGAAAGGCAAATTTTCAACCTATATACAAAGTTCAGTACACATTTCCTGCAGTTTAAGATCTGCATTTAACCCTGCAAAAATGATTTAATTTGGGCATCCAGTGGTGATTTCAGCATCTGTAATTATATGTGAATTTTGCACTAGCAAACCTAGCTACCCCCACACTTAAACTGCAGCAGCAGAAAGCTCAGTTCCACCTAGCTACTAAACAGGCTGCCCAGGACTCTTACTAGCAGTAGTTCACTATTAGAATCAGAGGTGAACCCTGCCTTATCAATGAACACATTTTATCAGCTCCAGATCCATCTTACTAAAAGACAGTACCAGCATACAGGCAAGAACCCCACTCATACCTCTTAGCCATGATGCAGCACACTTGCAGCTAGTATTGTTTGTCTTCCCACCTCACTTTACTTTGTGCTGAGTAATGGGAGAGCAGTGAAACCCTAAACTCCTGGGCTGAGATCCCTACATGGATGTCCCTCAGAGGCCATTCTACAAAACATGCCACCAGTGCAGAAGAAATGCACCTGTTCCACAGTTAATATTGAATATGTTACAAGTCATCTAAAGAGTTAAACAAACACCACTTTGAAAGATGTGTTCTTTTATAGGGGAATGAGTGAATTTACTTAAAGAGCAAGCTCTCCTAGAAAATAGTGAATTAACAATTTTGCAGTATATTTTAACTCCCGTATACGTCAAGCTTAAATCATCATTGCTTCCATGGAAAAGGCAAGGAAAAAGCATTCCCCTTTGTAATTAACACCCAAAGTAAACACAAATGGCTGGTGAGCAGCAGAGCTGTTCAGAATCCACTGTCGCTCCGACTGAAATGAAAACTCAGAAAACCTAGCTTAGTTTTACCTTTCTACAGCACCGAGATCAATTCTGTAAGTGACAAAAGAGCTAATGTCACAGGCAGATGCCACACACCTGTGGAAATACCCTGAAGAAACATTACAAATCCCTACAGCTTCAAAGATTTTCTTCATCATTATCAGTCTGGAAATTTTGCACCAATTTCATAAAGTCTATGTATCAGAATATTCATGCTAAAGAGCTTCATGCTTTAAGTGTAATTTTAAATAAATTTGTTGTACTACATATTAAGGTCTAACAGAACCCTTAAAATATGTAGATATAGGTAAAAGACAAAGTATTCCAGTTAATTTAATGAATTCTAGAATTTCAAAATTGTAAAGAAAATATTAGAATATTACAGAAACTACTTTAGAGCTATTCACACTTTGCATGGCCAGGTGGTATAGGACAAAATAATCTCACAGCCAAAGTTCCCTTTTGTAGTTGCCTTTACAATTTTAGAAGGCAAAATCTGGCCTTATAGATGTACACTTGGGTAGCAGTGTTTGGTACTTAAATGTTCATTTGTGGACTTAAATGTTGACTGGTCCGTTCTTTTTCCCCCACCTCAGAATTCTGATCAATATCAAAGCTATGATATTTGCATTTGCACTCACTACCAAATGTTTGATTGTAGATTTATCTTAGCAAGTTACTAATATTTAGCTACTAATACAAGAAAATATTATAAACATGATTTTGTAACAAATTGTATGGATGGTAAACTGAAAAGTAAAGTATCTGTTCAACAGAGTGATCAAAATTCAACATTATTGTGGAATATACTCTGACTTAGATTTTTCATTATCTAAGACAATACTGGTACTCTTCAACATAGAAAGATTTTGATTTTACAGAAAAACAGGACTAAGACTACCTCATAGATTTATTAACACAAGCATGAACTAATTAAGAGAAATGGGAAACTATCATGATATCGCTTATGAACATGCTTGAACTTTTCTTATATACATAGAAGACAGATTTCAACAGACAATTTCCCACAAAGGTATTTAGGGTCAACATACTTTTCATTTGTGTCAACTTTTGCATTATGCATATTAAAATTCTCTGCAGGTGATTGACTGAAAACTATTGTAACATTCCACTCTGATCACAGGTCATCACTTGCATGGTAGAAAGAACTAAAGGGATTTCCAGTATTTCAAAATTGTTTGGGTTTTTTTAAAATTCATTGACAGTGTTAATATAAACAGCACAAGTGAGTCAAAATTAAAGAGTTAAAACAAGATAGCCTGAATTTTTTAATACATAATATCTTGGTTTTCTTTTTTCTTCTGTAATAACCTGATGCTATACAATAAAACAATTACATGTAAATAAAATTAAAAAGGGTTTGCTTTGAAAATTAAATCCTAGAGACATTATGCAGGATAGTAAGATTACCTCTACCTAATGAGGAAAACAAACCAAAACAAAAATTAAAATTAAAATTAATAAAGAAAGAAAAAACCCTCATGATAGCTAATACCAGAAAGAACAAAACCGTTCCATATTTCACTGTATTTTGCACTTATCACCAATTTGTTTTTCCAAGTTCATGTTCCATTCCCAGTGCTGAGGTCATTTGAGGTATAAAATACACATGCTTTGAATCTCCTTTCTTTAGGATAATACATGTCTTTTAAGAAGCAAGCAGGGTTTCAGAAAAAACATAAATCATTTTGACATGAAGGAGGCTTTCACTGTTAAGGTATTCTCAAAGCAAACCTCTGCTGATTGCACGTTTAGGAGGTGCAAGACTTAAAACTTTGTAGTTTGAGACTGAAGAGACTAATTTATATAAGCAGTAAATTAAGAAATAAAGATGAAAAACACCTACCTTTCGGGAATGTATTTCTTTCACATATAGTGGAAGTAGAAACTCAGATATTCCTTCAAGTCGTATTCCTTTTTTAGTGACTCTCAAATTTCCCATTCCATCCTACAATCAATAATAATGTTCACTTTAGGAAATAACCTTATCCAGAACAAGTTAAAAGAACACAGTAGTTGGCCTAACACCTTAAAACAATGAGTGCTGTCTCACTGTCCCCAGTATTCTTCATGATCTTGGACAGGAGGTGGATGGGCACATTTATACACAAAGATTTGCCTAGGATTGAGGTATTTAACTGTGCGACCTGATGATGACCCATGTACATTATTTCTTGGCTGCACCTAATGCAAGGTAGGTCATAGTGCAACCAATGCAACTGTAGATCACAAGTATTCCCTTTACTGTAGAGGTGAAACGAGATCCTTAATTACAATTGCTAGGTAAGAAGTTAGTTAATTACCTCTAATACACATAAAACATTCAGTAAAGCAGTCTATGCATTGTTATATCTTGAATCCACTGCTCTTCCCAGTAATTAAAATACATAAGAAAATATCATATAGGAAGAAAGCATACAGGAGGTTTAATAGTTGCTCATCACTACTAAGAGCATGTTTCTGGTGAAAAGAACAATTTTAAAAATGTTGAGGGCTATTTTTGATTATTTGTTTTTTTATTTGTGTGAATAGAAATAAGAAAGACACCACCATAAAAGTTTCCTGACATAATACAATTCTTCACTATACTGCTGGTGGAATTCACCTTGATACACTGAAGTGCAAAATTAGCAAATTTAACCTAACTGCTAATTACACATTTGGAAGCCATCGTTGACTCTAGTGTAGTGGAACAGTAAGAAATTGCACTTCTGCTCTGTTAGCTGAACTGTGAAACAAGTAATCTCCACTTGCTCTCCCCTGGGCAGCTGTAAACAGCTAAGTAGCTGTGCCCCTCACTGTATAGCTGAAGCTGGAAGACAACACTGAATTAAATGATATTATACTTATCTAAAGGTAAGTATAGCTACTATAGTACTATAGCTATTCCCTTTCTAAAACAATGATGCCAGTATGACATATATCTGATTGACACCACTGGATCCACATCTGAAGCAATACCATGAAAACGCTAATTATTTAAGACAACAAAAAAAATTGCACTTCATACAATATTCAGCTGGTACTATTTCCAAAGAAAACAAGGGTATGGTGACAGATTGCTTTTCACACCATGATAGATTTCCAAAGAATATACTGTTGGGAATCATGCCTTTCCATGTTAGTTATAGGACTAGAATCCTAGATGCCTGTGACTACAAAAGCAGAGATTACAAGAGTTAGAAAATAAATGTAACTCCTTTACAAAATGGAGAAAATATGAAATAACAAAAGCTACTGCTAAGGCAGTCTATAATATTGAATATACTTGTTAAAGTAATATGGCACCAAGAGAAATATACAGACTTTGTAAGAGTCTATAGAACATTTAGCAAAATTTGTAACTTATTTGTAACTTGGATTTATGCAATCACATAAAGCCAAGAACTGCTTTTTTTTGTTAGTAAAAGTGCTATTTGTATTCAAACTATATCTAGTTGGTTTCATCCCTGCTGGGAGCAAAGCCCCACACTGCTGCTTGCTTCCTCCTGTCCAGTGGAGTGGGGGAGAGAAGTGGAAGGGTAAAGAGGAAAAACGTGTGGGTTGGGATAAAAACATTTTAATAGGTAAAGCAAAAGCCATACATGCAAGCAAAGCAACACAAGGAATTCATTCACTGATTCCCATGAGCAGGCAGGTGTTCAGCCATCTCCAGGAAAGCAGGGTCCAGCATGTGTAATGGTGACTCAGGAAGACAAAACTCCAAACATCCCTCCCTGTTCCTTCTTCCCCCAGCTCTATATGCCAATCATGATGCCATGTGGTACAGAATATCCCTGTGGTCAGTTGGGGTCAGCTGTCCTGGCTGTGTCCCCTCCAAACTTCTTGAGCACTCCCAGCCTTCTTGTTGGTGGGGTAGTATGAGAACCAGAAAAGGCCTTGGCTCTATGTAGCCACTGCTCAGCAGCAACAAAACCAACGCTGAATGATTAACACTGTGTCCAGCACAAATCCAAAATATACCCTCATACCAGCCACTATTGAGAAAATTAATTCTATCCCAGTGAAAAGCAGCACACTAAGACAGCTGAATTGTCAAATAATGCTTCTCAAAAGAAGTGAAATGTTAATACATTTTTCTTAAATCAAGTAGTAAGACATTTCTACAAATTATTCCACATATGAAACCTCAGGCATTTGTAGGCTTTCTAACAGAGAGTCCAATGTGAGACAGTGATGCCTGGTTTTGTAAAGGAAAATAAAGAAATTACAATGGTTTTGAATGTGCAACCTACATTAATAGCCATTAATTCACAATTTCAGCAATCCTATAGTAATGGCATATAAAATCATAGTAGAAAAGAATAACCTGAGAAAATACAACTACCATCCTATATTATTTTGGCAGTGAATAAATACTCAACAAAATTAAGTACTGAATTATTGGACTGAACTATTTGGATATAAACAGATTTTCTAACTGAAAAGGTGAATTCAGTATGTTGTTTTAGCTACTTCTCTGGAATGTTTGTAACTGACAGGCACAAAATAACATTTCACAGTAAAACTGAGCAGTGGGGGAAAGTGAAAAATATCCCCAAAATATATAAAGTCAAGCTTCCAGAAAACTGGAAATGCTAAAATTAAGATTGACTAGGTAATTTCCACCTGGTCCATCTTGCATGTATGTGTACGATAAAAGTCTATAAATATATGTAATATTTACCCTCCTGAATCTCAGCTAATTCCTCACATGTTCGGCACTATTCTTAATCAGCAGATACTCACTTTTCCTTTCACCACATTATTTTCTTTGCTCCATGTTTATTGTACTCCATTAAAACCCTAGAGAACAGTACTGTCAGCTTTCCTCCTGAACTACTGTTGTCATATTTGTTACTGAAGTTACACAGTTCTTCACAACTGTTTATTAATTTTCAAAATCTTTTTGGTGGCTTTGTATTAAGTGACACTGTTCTTATGTAACTGATAGGGATGAAAAGCACAAAAATTAATTTGTTCACTATTTTTTTATTATATTTTCTCTATTTTCAGCCGTGGGAAGTTAATTTGTATATCAAGATTAAACTGCCTGTCTCAGAAAAGAACTAATGATAGAGCCTACTGCATCCAGAAGGGCTTTCCCTTTTCTGGGTGATATTTCTAAGCCCTCATACTTCATTTCTTCAGCAGTGAGATACCAATTTACCAGAGTCCAACAGACTGAATGCAGACAAACTCTGCACAGACAGAAGTTCCAGTAAAATTACATTGTTCAATATGAGAAGACAGACACTACCTAAGTCACAAACAGTGTCATAAAACCGAAACAGGGTGACTGCAACCTCAATTGCTTGATAAACGCAATCATCTCCCAGACAATAACTTCCTGAAGTGTGTAATGACTGACATAAGGCTGAATAGCAAAATAAAGAAAATAGCTAGACATGTGCTACTATGTGCTTAAAGAGGCTCTCTCCATTCAAAGAATCACTGCCTAGTATGTTTTCTTCATCAATAACTCCCCACCCAGTTTTAACAGGGGCTGGAGCAAGATTTTCTCGTTTCATTGAGTTAGAGATATGATGTTACAGAAAAACACTGGAGGGTTTTCAGAGGTAACATAACTTACTGAAAAAGTTATTAGTATTTAAAAGATTAATTAGAGGAAGGTCCTGCTAAACTTCCAAATAAACTCCTTAAAGTTAAGTCTTTCCGAGTAACCAATACTCAGATTATCATTTTAGTGTGATTTGATTTTTTTTCAAGTGCATAACCGGACTTGAATGAACTAGTCCAGTACCTTCTTTAAATAAGTAAATTTTAAGTTTGGGTACTGGGATTGTCTGGGATGGAGTTTGTTCTCCTCACAGCAGCCTGTATGGTGCTGTGCTTTGGATATTTGGCTAAAACAGTGCTCATAACTCAACACTCTGGTTATTGTTGAACTATGCATCCAGTGTCAAGGCTTTCTCTTCACCCCCACCCACTCCACAACAAGTAGAGTGGGGATGGGCAAGGATTTAGGAGGGAACACAGCTAAGCCAAACGACCCAAACTGGCTAAAGGGATATTCCATACCTGTGACATTATGCTCAGCAACAAAAAGTTGTGGCAGTGGAAGAGGCAGGGTGGGTGGGGGTTGGTGGAGAAAACCAGGATTTTCTTTCAAGGTGGGCACTGCTTGGAAATTGACTGGGCCTCAGTCTGCTTGTGGTAGGTTGTGAGTGATTGTTTTTGCATCACTTTCTTTCCTCTTTATGATCATTTAATATTTATGATTACTTTCAGTTTTTATACCATGTATAAATTTTCCTTTCTCAACAAACTAACAGTGACCCTACCTCACTTATATGGTTCTTTTTTGTACCTAAAACACTAAGAAAAACCACCCCCTCAACTTTACACCCATAAATTATATGTCTTACAGATATTATATAAAAATAATGATAAATGAATCACTATCAATATTTGATACCATTCTTAGATTACATCTCTAATCGTGAGAGTATACCTTTGAGTCATAGCATTAAAAAAACCCAACAAAACAAAAACCAAAGACATAATCCTGGGAGTCAGACAACTAATGCTGACATTCAGAGCTGTTCCAAGCTTTGCCCTGCATATAAAAGGCAGAGATTAATGTTCTCAGATGATCCTGGTATATAAGTAGGTCTGAAGTTAATTCACACTGTCTTTAAACAGACAGGATGATCTTTTAAAATATTAAGTTATTTCTTGACAACATGCTGAGAATTCTACAAGGGTGTATTACCTATAAAGTATGTTTTCTTTCTGCCAAATAAACTATTAAAGTAGCATGTTTTATGACAACTACAAATAGAAAGTATATGATAGAACTATGAATGCTTCTCAACAAATCAGGATGTTGGCTAAAACTACAATCTGCCCTAACTAATCCTGGGCCACACACATTGCTATATGATGAAATATGTAGTTTTGTTCTTTTTTTATATCCCTTTTTTTCTTCTTTTTTTTTTTTTAATT